TTTATTTTTTTGAAGCATGTCAGTCTTTCTATAGTGGCAGAAAACGTCTCATACTTTACAGGGGAGAGGATGAGATAAAGATAACGCTAAAGTTGATTAAGATGCACGGCTGCAGTGTGTAATTAAAACCACACGGAGATGACGGATTGCGCCACGACAGGCTGTAAAAAAGGTAATGTTCAGAAGTGTGGGCTGTGGTTCCAGTTGGAGGAGTTGGGATGGAGGGATGGTCTGAGGAGGAGAGGAGCCGTAGATGGTGCCAGGGCAGCCGTGACGGAAAGACATTAATAATTTATGATGGGCTCGGCGTTTGGGTGCGCTCACTGCTTCCTCTTGACGTTTAATTTGTCTGAGAAGCAGCGAGCGTGGATCTGATTATGGGCCCACGTCTGACATCCAGCCCAGATCACAGCTGTTCACCGCGCACACGTCACCACCGCCAGTTCACACGCTTACACAACACAGCACCAATCAGGGAGGCCATAAATACAGGTTCGATTGTAGATAGATCAAGCCAGACATCATCCAGACTTGACAAAATAGCAAGTAGGAGGCCTCAAACTCAGGCCAAGAAGAGATTTGATCAGATACCCTTCTTTTTGATGTATCTTTGTATTTTTTTTCTGATTATTTTTCTTTGTTTTGTTGTTTGTGGTACTGCATTTTAAATCTGTAGCACTTTGAGGCTTCCTGGAAATATGAGGTGTAATATAAATAAAATATATTATCATTATTATATTTTTTATTATTATGTTTATTTTTTAATCATTATTATTATTATTTATTTATTATATTTTTTGATATATATTTGTTTTTTAGTATTATTATTATTATTATTATTATTATTATTACTAATAGGTATATTTTGGGTTTGAACTTTAAGGCTAAATACAGATTATATTGTAAATAGATCAAACTTGACAAAATAGGAGGTCTAAATACCTTTTAAAAATCAGGCATAGTAGGAATTTTATCAGCTTTTAACCGCTTCATATTTATTTTTGATGTATTTATGTACTTCTGATTATTTTGTTGTTTTTGGTACTGTGTTTTAATCTGTACCATTTTGAGGTTTAGAGGTTTATTATTATTAAATGTAGGTGTATTTTTTGTTTGAACTTTAAGGCTATAAATACAGGTAACATTGTAAAAAGATTAAGCCAGACATCATCCAGACTTGACAAACTAGAGTTTTGTCTGTTTGGTTAGAACTTGAATATACTTTTAGCAGTGCAAACGGTATATAGTGGAAGGTTCAAAATTATCACTGATATTATACAAACCTAGCTTTGTAATGTGCCGAAAGGACAGGATTGCAGATACAAGTGGTTAAAATAAGTTTCCTTCATGGAGTTTGCTGGGCACTCTCTCAGGCTGAGGATCTCGGTCTCACAGGAGGAGCTTGGACTAGAGCCGCTCCCTCTCCAATCAAACTTTTTTCAACCCATTTTTATCTATAGAGCCCTTTAATATAACCTTAAGGCGACCAAAGTGCAATGAAATCACATAAAATCCAATATTCATAAGATCCAAAAACATAAGTTAAAAAGCATTACTCGACGCTGAAAGGAGTGAGTTGAGTCCTTCTGTTTGTCTATAAATGCCTGAATGGCCTTGCTCCGCGTTATCTGTCTGACCTACTGACGTCATACGCTCCATCACGTTCTCTTAGGTCTGCAGATCAGGCTCTGCTCTGGGTTCCTCCGACTAAACGGAAACTCAGAGGAGATCGAGCTTTTTCGGTTGTTGGTCTGGTCCTAAATTATGGAATGAGCTGCCCCTGTGTGTGAGACTGTCTGAGTCACTTCCTGTTTTTAGGACACACTTGTTCTCATTGGCTTTTAATTGATTTCAATAGATTTTTTGCTGTAAATAGTGTTTTTTGCTACTGTTTTTATTTTGTATTTGTATATTTGTGTATGTGTTTTTATGTACACCACTTTGGTCAACCGTATTGTTTATATTATTGCTTTATAAATAAACTGGATTGGATTGTTGAGGTGGCTATAGGGAGGAGACCCAGGGACCGAGGACATACTGGACTCAGCCGGCCTGGGAACACCTCACACCTGGACGAGCTGGATGAAGTGTGGATTGTGTTTTTTTATTTTATCTTCCATTAAGGCTTACTGGTGAAAATCCTTCTAATTATATCTGGTAGCTTTTGGGGTCATTCAATCTGCACCTGTTCTATCTACATGCATATCAAGGGCGTAGGTTTGCGTGGGGACCATGGGGACATGTCCCCACCAATATTTGGTGAGGACTAAAAAGTCCCCACCAAAATGACATGATGTCCCGTGACCCGGACGGTCCGGGACACATGTCTTCCGTTTGTGCACACGTCGCGCCTCCTCTTCGCCTCCAGAGCAACAGCAGCAGCAGCAGCACGTGACCCGTTCCGTTCTCTGCAGTGATTGGCTGTCTTCTTCAGCGCCAAACTGAAGCACTGAGCAACTGTTTAATTTTTAAAAGTTAGCCAGCGTGAAGCAAGTGTTTTTTTTTGTTCCCTGAGCGTTGTAGCACGTGAGTAATCAGAGGAAAGTACTGTAGATCTATTACCATTCAAAGTACTTGTTCCGAGGAGCTCACACGGCACAGAGACAGAACAGAACTGGCTCCAATAAAGAAACAGGTTGGTTGAAAGGCTGAAAAAATACTTATTGTGCTCTTACTATCCAAAATGTATAAGTGGGTGTGTTGTGTGAATCAGGATAAACTAGGGATGAAAATATTCCACGGATCCACGATTTACAACCTTTATCTGCTGATAATGTAATTTCTGTAAAATGTGTGACAGCACGTCCTGGTGCAGCTGCTGCCGCTTTGTAATGACAGCCGCGGCGCTCAGTGAAAGCACAGCTCTAACATGGTACCGAGCTTGGACCATATGCAGACAGAACCATGTTGCAAGTGCGGGTCTCCCTCGTATCTCCCCCGTTTCTCCCCTGTGTCTCTGACATGTCTCTCCTGACTCTTCCCAAAGCGCAACCAGCGCTCCCGAAATTAAAGCTCGGATACCTAAATTTTCGATTGCGTTAACGATGCATGCTGGTTGTGCGCAAAACACACCACAACAGGTCATTTAAGTTTTTATTTTGCATACTTGAGAGCCCTGTGAGTCATTACTTGCCTTTTTGGGTTGAGAGTGGAATAAAAAAAAGAAAATATAGACAAATCCACACTGTTACTTATTGCCAAACTCTTGTTAACTCATTGTATTGAGAAATACTATGTAACTTTTGACATTGGCCAAGTTATATAAATGATTCTGCAGTTCATGTATATGAATGTCTGTTTTTGATTTTCTATACCTTATATAATTTAGAAAAAATGCCACCTCCACAAAAAAAGATAAAAGATATCAGGAGCTTTTTTAACAGTTGGAAAGTAAGTAAGAGAAAGCACAAGTAATAGCAAATTATGAATTGTGATGATTAATCTTCTGTTAACATACATAGGAAACTCAACCAACAAGAGAGAACAATATAGGGAATGTTGAGGTAGAAGCAACAGGCCCTTCAGTGCATCAGGCGAGGTTGGAATTTTGTAGGTATGCATGGGACTATGAATTGTTTTTAGAGATTGATCGTATATGTCAAACAATGTAGTGAGCTACTCACTGTAGATTCTAATTCAATATTTTCTCCTCTGACTATTAGAACAAATCCTTAACTGCTTCTCATTCAGTCTACAGCTGAGTTTAGTATAGAAGGCAACACACTATTGCAAATATAGTGTGTGATCACACAACAAATTCTGGGGGAGAAACTCTGGACCCCGTGTCAATGGGTGTAGACTCAGGTCGTAGTGAATGTCCCCACCAAGATTGGAACCAAACCTACACCATTGATGCATATATCAATAAAAGGTTAAACAAAAATGTGAACTGAGACAAGAAATACAAATGATCAAAGCTGTACCGTATTGGTTTTGTATAAATACAATGCACAATTCTACCGTCTCGCAACTGAGCAGGCCAAGTGCCAACCTGTCATTCTGTCCTTAGGCGAGACACTTTGCTGTAGTAGTAAGTCTGATGAAACATGCTGGTTGCCTTGCTTCTGTCAGTCTACCCCAGGGCAGCTGCTGCTACAGAAGTATTTTACCACTGTTGGGGAAATCTAATTTGTGTTATTAATCACTATTTAATTCAGGGGTATATCACTGTTTGTCTAAGTGTCTAAGTGCAATATGTTCGACCTTACCGGGTGTTTTTCTTCTTGAATGCTTTCTTTAGTTTCAGAATTGTCTCAGGGCGAGAGAGGAGCCTTGAGCAACAGGTAGGACTCAGAACCAAAGCTGAGTGGCGCTATAGTAGATGGGCTTTGTGTTAAGACATAGCTTATTACTGTTGAAGATACTTGTCGTTTATCTGTATGCATTTACACACTTTAATGGTATTACAGCTCTGGTTGTGGATTTTTGTGTGTTTTTATTGTCATTATTTGAAAGAAATTCCACAACACCACCAGTGTTTGGTGAAGAATTAACAATGCCAAGTTATTTTAGGTGCAAACTATTAGCTTTAGGAGTTTCTCAACATTTTCACCTTGATTCTAAATTCTGTAATAATGAAAAATACATACATGGCTTATTATAGCTTTCAATAGTAGCTCAGAAACACTCCATCATCTTTTTTTCCCCATTCAACTGTCAGATTTATACTGCCATCTGGTGTCCGTAAAGTGCAAATTGCATACAGCATATAAAGTACAGAAAGTAAAGTCAGTTTCTTGATTGCATTTGAAAGATAGAGCCAATTTGACATTATTAACAAATTAGTACAGCCGCCAGCCGTCCCATATCCAAGTAGAATGATGAGACCCTTATAATAAAATAACTTGCCACTGGTTTGACAATAAATTAGACTCACCAAACTGGATCATGTTTGTAATCCAGGTAAAAACATATACTTCCACTTCTCACTCACACTGAGACAGGATTTTCAAAAGCATTTACTTCTTAATATAAAAGTGCATGTCACAAATATGGTGTCATTAGCTGTGGACTGAGATTGTGTGGAAGCTCCGGGCCGTGACTCCGAGGCTGTGGCTGTGAGAGAAGGTCCCCTGCAGCACTTTGGTCCCTGCAGAAGACGCCATGATGGACACGCTGCTCTCTATGACCTCCCCGGGCTGCAACAGCGTTAGCCTGCAAGACAGACCACAGCTGACTGACAGCACTTCAGATCACTGCCTTTTTACTGAAAGACATAAAATAATTTAAAAAAAATACTATATTGATTTAGGAAATGTTAGTGGAATAATCAGTGGTTCTATGTCCCCATTGGGCTGAGTTTTTCGGAAGATGGAAGGAAGAAAACTGGAATTAATAATGAGAAAATAGACATTGAATTGCTTTAATTAATCTAATTTTTGATGCATTTTGTACTCACTTATTCAGTTCAGGTTCATTGCACTTAACAACCTTTTGTTATAACCCTGAGTATTTTTCTCACTGATTAAGTTCCTGGTAGTAGCACATGATATGGAGGAGCTATCAGAACTTGTATTGTGTTCATTGTGCATCATTAAACCATGTCTTAATCCACAAGATCTCATCAGGTGTTTGACTAAAACTTACAACACAAAGCTTTCTTGAAAGTCTATTTGCACATATTAATTTGTAAATACACTTTTCAAGGGACCCTGAACAAAAGTTTACATTATTTGGACTTGCAGTTGACATAAACAAGTTTGAATATTGATAATGAAATCTCACACAACAAAGAGACAAAGTTAATCTTTTACTTGTTACATTGTACAAGGAGAATGTCTTGACAGAGGCAAGGCACAGACCCTAGCCTCTCTCAGGACAAGTCTGAAGATCCACAGTCTGCAAGCCCCTTTTGGTAGAACAAGACACACCTTCGTATGCAGATGGGAAAGGAAGAAACCAACACAACAAAAGACACTTAACATATGAGCTCCCCAGACCTCCCGGTGTCTTCCTGAAGCTAAAGTGAATTACAATACAGAGCATTCAGCACATAGCCACATATGATTTACCAAAATGATAACTTAAGTTACATTCCAATATCAAATATGCATTACAGAAACCTAATGAAAATAAAAGGCGTCACCTGCACCATATTTTTACGGCCCCTTTCGGCAAAGCAACAAGACACAGACACAAGGCATTGCAATCATAAATAATCACAGTTCATTAAAAAGAGTTGAGATACAATCCTTCAGTTGTATGCACAGCCAAACACAATGCTTTAACCTGGACATGTTAGAAGCCTGTCTCATATATTCAGAAAGACTTGTATGCTACACTTAGAGATGTTATTTTAATTAGTACAGAGTTATTGTTCTTTTATCTTGCTGTGTTCTGCTCATTCCTGTTCTGTAGCTGGTGATGCAACACTGACATTTCCTCTATGGGACAAGTAAAGGATCCCTCCCTTCCATGAATCTGAAACGCTGCCTCCCCATGTTTAGTCCTGACTCAGGGACCAGCAGGAGGCCAGTCCCTGTGCTCCTCAGAGTTTACATGTGACAGATGTTCTAAGGCCATAGAGAGACAGAGCTGATTTAAAGTCTATTCACTGAGCCTCGGGAAGCCGGTGCAGAGACCTGAGGACTGGACTAATGTGATTGTACTTGGTTCAGGTGAAAACTCAAACTGCAGCTGCTTCAACATTCATAGCAACATTCTGAACATTCATTTCAGAAAAACAATTTACAGTCTGTACTCAACCTTTGGTCTTAAAAATGCTCATATCGTGAGACTTGACTTCAGGGCAAAACATTTACTGTCTTGTTTTTCCATAATTTATGACTACAAAGTCTTACATCAGACTGGAGTATGGTTTACTGTCACTGCTCTTTCTTTAGTTTACGCCTTTGTGTATATTTTACAGATAGATAAATAGTTAGGAAACTGAATACATGTGAATCAGAAAGAGACCAATACAACACAACACAAATATATGCCTTGTATTGTAGGTATGATCGTGTTGAAGAGTTTATTCGGAAAATCGTCCTTTGATTAACCTTTAATGAAATGTATTAGGAGGGCTGGGGAGAAGATAACTCTCTGAGGCGAAATCAGGGTTAAAAGGGTCAAACTGTTGGAAGGTGTCAATGTAAACCTCCCCTCAATTATAGGCCATAATATTCAAACTGATAGGAGTTTAGTCTGGACAAGGATAAGATGTTGAATCAGAATAACAATTATGAATCCCTAAGACGAATTCATGACACCGGAGTGGGTTTCATAGCCATAAAACTTGAAGTGACCTCCTAGAGACCTCAAATCCTTAATCCTAAAAGCACATAAGAAAAACAAAATCCCTTAACGAATGGACTAATATGACATAAGCCTGATGACCCTCAGGAGCATCTGAGAAAACTCTAGTTATGAGAATAGACAGGCTAAGGAGACAGGGTGGTCTGGAAAACACTGTATAAGAAGGGGCCAGTAGAACACAGAGTTAGATGCACTGGGGCCTCGACTCAGACAGGTAGCTGTTGCTTTTGCTTGTTCACTCTTGCCTTGTATTTTTTGTATTTGTAATATCTTTTATTAAATCTACGAAATATCTAATAGTTCCAAACTCCTTCACTGTATGTTTTTAGTCCTGTGGATTGCAAGCCTCCTCTAAGAAGCTTGACCTTTATGTCTTAGACTCTTAATACTAAAGGTTAATTTATTAGAGAAACATTACATTGGACACTGTTACTCAGGCATGTCCAAACTCAGGTCCGCGGGTCAATTGCGGCCCTCGGTGTCATCTTATGTGGCCCTCTGCCTTGCTAACCTAGTAGTAGCAGTCTTTGAGATCATAAACACAAGTTCACCGTGTCATCCATCCAACTTCAGCTCAGCCAATATAGACTTGCTGTACCCATGCGTTTACACCTACATGTTTGTACACACTAACATGGTTTTTGATTGTGTGACAAACTTCCCTTTTATGGTGCTAATGCAGTTAGTGAGATGGTAAACATGTGTCATTTAGCCAACTTCAGCTCTGTTATAGATCATTTTAAAGCTCAGAACAGCCCGATGCCAGTCAAGACAGTTTTTCAAATTGTGATGTCGGCCCCTGGACTAGCCTGGAGAAAAAAAGTGGCCCTCTTACTAAAATGTTTGGACACCCCTGCTGTTACTGGTTCATTAAAGAATAATCTCCCAATCAGATAAGGTTCAACACGTTATAGCTTAACTCTACAGGGAGTGTAAACGATAAAAGAGTCACCTTTTCTGAGTTAAATAGTGTATCTAATAGGAAGAAGCACTCTATTCGTGTTTAATTAACTTATAAATATAAGTATGTGTTTGTTACTTCCTTGAGGCTTGCGACACACGGAACAACATTCCCTGACCACATTCCTCAAACTTCTCCCTCTTGTTTTCTTAAAGACGAGCAGATATTCTCGGTATGTAAGCTTTGATGGTAGCGTGTGGGATGGGTCTCACCTGGTCTCATGTTTTCCCTCCAGCAGTCCATACCCCTCCAAAGACAGAACGGCTCCAGTGAGGAGAGTGTTGCAGTGGTTTGTGTAAGAAACATGTACTGTGTGCTCTTTCTTCATCTGAATGCTGTCGCCTCCTTCCACCTGTCAATCATGCATGCATCGTTATCATGTCCCTCCCACAAACTGTTTTGCATTTAGACAAGACTAAATGCCATCTGCTATATGGGAAACTGTTCTCTTGACTCTAGCACCAATCACGCTCAAGAAGCCGGGACGTTACTACAGAGAGGCCCTCCTTCCTGATCTAAAACCACATTGTGCCTTATCGGACTTCTTTTAACAGTGTCGGTTTTTTGTTGGACAAAGATTGCAGCAAATAGATTGGCCAAAAGCTAAGAGATAAACAAAAAGAAAATAAATAGTGTGCCATTTTGATCAGAGAAGATAAAATAAAAAATGGACCAAAATTAACTCTGAAAATAATTCTGACGGGTTTGCATAGCTTCACTTCCTGACTCACACTCATCTCTAACTGAGAGAGGTGTAAGGTCGGAGAATAGTTTGTTTGTGTCTGTGTGTGCGTTTGTGAGGTGTGTAAACGTGTGTATAGAATAAGTGAGAGGGGTCGGACCAAAATAAAAATCTGCTTCGTCCAACTCATTTTCAAGCTGTTTTTTTCTATATATAGTTTGTATCATTTTATCTTGATTATAAATATAGGTTTTGAAATAAAGTTTGCTCCTGAGGCAACCATGTGACGCAGTGTTGCATTAAAGCTGGGGTACCTAACTCTCAAACTTTGTTGTTTTCACCTTCATGTATTTGTTTGGCCTCGGTCACACCTTTTTCATACCAAACGTGAAAGAGAGAAACACCCTCCCTCAGCCAATCAGATCTCATAACAGAAGATAACACATTCTAGTTAGCTGACAAGAGCTAACTAGAATGGAACATGTATTTTGTCATGGTTTTTTGGCATGTATTTTGGCATGGTTTTATTGTTGTTTAAAGTTGGGTACCCCAGCTTTAACTGCCGTGCACTCACTTCTATAGTGATTTGGTGTGAGCAGAGGTTGAACTCCTGCACAGCCATCACTCTCTCCTTGTTCTTCACGTCCTTCACCACCACCGCGGCGTTCACGATGTCGTCATGCGCCATCAGGGACTTGAACCGAGACGACGGGATTCTGTGGTGCAGAGTCAGGACTGGAGACAAACACAAAGAGACAGAACATGAAATGAGATATGTGTGTATAGTGAATAAGCAGGTGATAGCACAGCAGTAGGTAACTCCTTTACTTTATATAAAAATGTAAAAAAAATGTAATAAAAATAAACAATTTTCCAACCAAATAAACAATAAAATATAATTGTATTATATATACTTGTACAATACACATACATGGCAACTTGATACTTCTAAAGTGAATTAATCAATATTAACCGCATACAATGAAATGCACAGCAAAAAAAAAGATAAAATATGAGGTAATAATTGCTTGTTTCAGACCTTGCCCCGGCTGTATTTGGAATTGGCGGCGGGATTGCCAGAAGCTCTCGTGGGGGCTGCGGTTGTAGTGTTTGAGCTGGGCGCTGAGGTGCTCTGTGAGGAGGCGGCCGTGACCACTGCCATTGGAGACGGTGACACAGAGGCAGATGGAGTCTCCCACACCAGGGGTCTTCTCCACGTCCAGGGACACTTCCAACCTGGAGACACTGCCTTCTGCAGGAGAAAGGATAGGAGAAAGAGTACTGTTAAAGCTGGGGTACCCAACTTTGGTAGTCCAGCTTTAAAGCAGCAATATGTAAGATTTTCATGTCAAATCATCATTAAATGGCCCTAATCTGTCAAAAGGCATTAATAAAACAGGCTCTTTTTCAATACTTCTTTAACTGATAACTGTAGTTCAGTTGAATTAGTTTTCCAGCCCCTAAATGTTGTTATTGTTTGAATTTTGATGTCCCGCCCTCAACTCACCTCGTGGAGCTAATCTCACTGGTAAAGTACCATGTGGCCACAGAACTAAAAAGATCTTGTTGTTATCCTCAAATCATTAATGACAAAACAAGGAACAAAACCAGGATTTCTATTGGTGATGACTTTTTTTTGTTGACAAAACTCTTGTCTATTCAGATAATATGGTCCCAGCTGGATTCGCCTGCATATCTGGCAACTTGAGTCGGGGAGAGTGGGAGAAGTTGCAGAATCACTTTTGGCCGGAGTTTACATACTGCTCCTTTAACAGCACACACATTATTGAAATCTATCCAATGAGTATCTCGCTTGCTTCGTTTCATGTACTTACTGCATCTGTCACATAATTTGATCAGCTTTCTCAGACAGACAAGTAAAGAAGAGACAGGACCACCCTCACTCAGCCAATCCGCTCTCAGCCCAGTTAGTCAAAAAGTGACTTGCAGGGCTCTTTCTTTCAAGTATGTACAATATCTTCAAATATTATGAGGTTGTGGTCCGATTTGTACTCAAAACTGTTCTTTGCTATTTCTGTTTGGACAAAAAGTATTATTTATGAAGAAATATAAGTTTTCTGCCCAGATTTACAAGCTCAATATTTGGGTGGAACTTGGATAAAACCTGAATTTTACAAGCCTAGTCTACATTTTTACCAACTGCGGAGTTATGTTCCCAGTATTTAAACTTAACAGCTCTGAAACTATAAATAAGTCATTTCTTTCTTGACCCTGAACCACAAATGTCTTTACATCTGAAAAGGTTATTCCACTTATGCCCAGTTTTATATATTATGAATTAAGACAGAAACACAAATGACCTGATATTTTTCCAGATGCTGCAGGTGAAGAACGCATTGGGGCAGAGTGCACAGGAGAAGACTGCTTGTAATGAGGTGTTGATCTGTTGTGATATGTGTTCTCTCCAGACCCTTGAAAGCAAATGGAAAGTATTAAGTTGACCAAATAATAATTAATTCTTGCTTAATTTACAAAATGTTGAAATGTTCCACTCACTGTTGTTGGTCTTGTACGTGTGTGTGAGGTTCTGTGGTTTGTTTGATCCAATGCTCTTGGTGTAGATGAGCTGTCCCACACACTGTCTGTCCACGCTCCTGCCCACCACCAGGCCGTCCCGCACAATCAGCCGCACCACATCTGCGTCCACAGACGCCAGGATGAAGGAGGCGTCGAAAGCACAACGAAGAACTCTATTCTGCACCGCGGAGACGGGGCACGGCCCACAGCAGTAGATCCCTGAGAGTCAAGAACTCATCATTTAGGCCAAATGTGGTGAACCTTAGGTTTTAAATTATATATTTACAAAACACAATGTGATTCACCTTCACTCTTCTCTTGAGGGGTGGGGTCTACCACCTGCCAACCATTAAATTCGGATCCTAGGTCCTCTCTCCTCATCCAGCATTCGACCCACACATGAAAGTTCCTGAAACAGACATCATACTTCGGGGAAATAGCAGGAAAAAGTTTAAATCCTTTTTTATTGTGGTATAACTTCATAATTTCAAACTAACAACCAGTCATTCTGATTTAGTCTCAACAGTCTATTCTCAAACAAATGCTCTATTCACCAAACTAGACACACCAAAATCACACTGACCAGATGCTGTCCTTTGAGAGGTTGAACTTCTCCCCTTTGTTGGAGTAAAACTCTTCGATTATCAAGTTTGCATTCACATCATGAGCTGCATTAAAAACAGTTACTACTCTGGCAGGGATTCCAAGCACTCTCAGCACTGAGGGCAGAATGTCATAGTCAAGATCGAAGCGAGTTCATGGAATCTAAAGTATTTCTTGTACATTTGCATGTGTTATAATGGACTACCTGTGCAGAGGACACAGGCGAACACCCAGCACTGTCCATATCGCACTGGGCTGCAGTTTGAGGACACCCATTTGTGCAGGATCTCTGCACTGCCGGTCCACTCTGTGGGACACACTCCATCTGTGTAACTGCCCTGCCACTTCCCTGCCAGGACTCCCAGGTCGTCATTACAGTTTACCTGAATGAAAGAACTTCCATAACATCAATGTCATTTCACCACAACCTCTAGATAAGAGTTTGCAACAAAGCGCACCATTGCACAAATCACCCTGCTGAGGTAGACGGGGTCTGCACGCCTCAGGTAGTCGTTCTGTCTGTCGCTCTGATGCTGTGGACTCTTCTGCAGCAGCTGAAGACAAGCTTCTAGAACCCCAGGCTCCATCTGAAGGAACGCTTCAGTGTCAGAGAAAAACAAAATGACGTCATGTCCTGAGCTCACAGACCTGTCCAAAGGCCCAGGGCCTCTGCCTCACGCTCTGCTGTGTACCCACAAACACCAGCCCATAGTCATTGTGGATGTACTCCTGCAGCTGCACCTCCAGAGGCATCCACACTGGGTCCTCTGGAACACAACAGAGCCCCTGTTTTCAATCAACTGCATGTGTGGATAATATACATTACAAGGATATTAATGCTTGTTTCTGGTGCATTAATGGACTAATAAAGGAGTAGAAAATTAATGAATAAAAGAATAATGCTTGTTTCTCAACCACAATAGTCAACTGGGAAAAGTACATTCTACTTCAGCACTTACATGGAGTAACAATAACCATGTTTTGTTACTGTATTGTTTTTGATAGTTCATGTGTGATCGTGTGGGTAGTGTCGTGTACCTTTACACCAAGGATTACAGAGGAGCACAAAGGTCCCCAGGTCATAGCTGAAAGCATGTCGCCGGCTCCGCATGTGCAGGAGCAAGTGGTAGGACGCAACCGCTGAGATCACCGGAGAGCATACGTGCACGCTCACTGACTGAGTGTGCACGTTTTCGGGAAGGACACGAGCCGACCAGCGAAGAGGGTTGAGGCACTTAGAGGAGAAGTGCACTGGGAACCTCTCGGCGAGATCACCTACGCCAACACAGTGGAAAGTGGGTTGTTATGATTCAGAGCAGTGCACAACAAGGTCTAAAACACTCTTGGTTTTAAAGCTGCCAATCTCTGTGAACATTGGAATACATTTTCTTGTAGTAAAGGGTCTGGGATAGTATTGCATAGTTTTGCTAATGTGGTTTTACTGTAAATGGCAAATAAATGCTTGTATCTTGTAAATTCTTGTTTTAGTATATACCATGTTTGTTGTAATGGAAAGAGGCCTATATAGAAGTAACAGTTTGTGACCATATCAGACCACAACATACGTTTATCTCATTAGAATACATATTGTGCACAGAACTGTGAATCATTACTTGATGCTTTGGGCAAAGAGCTGATTGGCTGATCATAGTTGACCTCTCTTTTTCACTTGACCATCTGAAAAATCTGATCTAAATGGTGTGACAGAGAACAAAGTGTACATGCATGTGAAAACTGGAGCGTGAACCAAAGTTTTTTGAGAACTTGGATAGATTTTTACAACATATTTGCTCAAAATCGGAGGCAGAGTTCAGACTTTGTACAAAGTGTTGCTGAAAGTACAAAGCTCCTAAAGTGACCAAATAATATTTATGAAATATCAAAATAAATATATTTTAGGAACAATGGCACTTTGGCAATCGTGGATTTTCATGTTTCTTTTACTGACAGACACAAACTACTAGAACAAACAGAACACTCACTGTACCACACTCAAGGCACAGTCAAAATCATTGTGTGGCAGGAGTTAGAATGAATTTTGACATCCTGCTTGACACAATCAGTCGTTTTAAACAATATTGCATATTTGACTTCAGGCAACCGTGGCGCCTAGAGGGTTTACTTTATGATCAATTATCTTAAATAATACATAATAGTTTGATGTGTGCAATCTGAGTGCTCTTATTTCCTTCTTTTTTCCTCAGCAATGTGTGCAACTATGATATTCACATTCCACACGTAGAGACAAATAAAGGAATATCTTATCTTAACTTCAAAAGGCATTGTTGTCAAGATGCCACATACCCAGCTGCACCTCCAAGTCGAAGCTGTACAAAGACCAGGGAACTCGCTGGTGGAACAGGAGCGTCAGCCTGAAGGCCCACCCCCTCCTCACCACCAGATGATGAGAGCTGAGCCCCACAGTCTCATGGCTCCGGTGGTTATCGTGGATCTCAAAGTTTACAAACCTTAGCTGGCACTTGTCAGAGATCAGATCTATACGAAACAGGCCAACACAAATGAATTATACCACCCGTTAGAAGCCGCTGAGGTTATAACAGCATATCATTTATCTGTAGCTATTTATAACATAAGAATTACATGCATTTAACGATCACACTCCACAGTAACTACAGAGAAAGCCTTTGTGACCATGATCATGACAGAGCATTATCCAACCTTTATTAAGAAATAAATAAAAACATGTTTGTGTGTGAACTATACCTGTCAAATGCTCCGGCTGAAACAGGAGCTACTGTACGTCTGATTCCTGTTTGGAAAGTTTCTGTCCTTTGCTATTTTCTCAATCATGTGTCCTTCTCATTTGAAAATATCATAAAAATAGTGGAGTCCTATCAGGCCTGTTTATCCCTATAGAGCCAGAAATGTGGAGGTGAAGTTCACTTTTGTAATTAGTAATTAATTCAATCACTTTTGTCCCCTTTATTAGTCCATATCTGGTTCGGGGGGCGGCAATCAGAGCTGTCATGAAATACTCATAGCACCAGCCCCCCACTGATCCTCCTGCAGGTGGTGGGTCCCCGGGAAGACAGCGGCTCCCTAAAGACACAGCCTTGGTGTTTCCAAGGGGAGTTCAGCCAAAGTGGGGTTCACCGCCTTGCCCAGGGACACCACAACAGCAGACATCAGTGGGAGCAGGTGACATGGGTCGTAAGGGGAATCGAACCCACGACTAATAGGTTCAAATTGATCAATATGTGTCTCCAAATGAGAGACACATTGAAGGGAAATCCCTGAGAACCACTGATTTGTCTAATTGTAATTTAATAACTGTGTAAACAACCACATATATAGAGTATGTACTGTATATTCTTACTGTTCACAGTTAACCCATAATTTTTACAGGTATTGTGTAACTTCACCACTCCCCCAGTCTATATGTGAACAGAACACATAACTATACTGTATTTTGACATTTCTGTTATTAGTTACTGTGCTAATATGTATAACTTTCTAATTGAAATGCTTAGATTGCAAACTCCAGGTTCAATCAGACATGGACATATTTCTTAATGAATGCATCGTCAAACAGGAGAAGCAATATAAGAAGTGCAAATCTTACAGAACCATAAATACAGTAACAAGGGATGAGGTTTTACAATGACACAAACAAGATTATTTGACCAGAAATATCTTTTTTTTCTGAGATGAAGAGGCACTTTGAAGTATGAGTGCCTCCAATGAGGTAAACTACAGTTCTAAGCATCAAGTAGATAAACACTGGAAAAGATCTCTTGAAAAACACAAGAAAAACATGAAACAAGTAAACTACTGCTTAAAATAGGAAAAAATACAGAACAAGAAAATATGACTTGACAAGATTTCACAAAATAATAACTTGAGTATGAGTATAAAAAATAAATTTCAACACTTATTTTTCTAATAAGGTTATGAAGTATAATCATCTTAAAACTAGTAAAATAATCTTACATGACAAACTTGCCAATAACAAAAACTTTACACCAAAAAATAAGCATATTTTTGTTAGTTTAAGTTATTTTAAGTAAATTAACCTTACCAAGATTTTACTTTTTTCATTGACTCCACCAAATAAAAAACCCAGTTAAAAAAAATGCAAACTGGGGACTTTTGTAAATGAATCCCAGGTGGTTTTACTGCAAATGGCAAATAAATTAATCTGAATCTGAAATAGTTGAGGAGCCATTAAAGGGGAAAGACAGTGTGCACCAGAGCATGTGGAGAAGATGTCGAGAAAGACATTTGTGCAGATTGTAAACCAGTAGAAACGTACCTCCGCTGAGCACAGTCTGCTGCTCACAGTCCATGTTGTGTGAGACTGAGGTGAGGAACAGCAGGAATGACCTGTGGCCACTCCTCCACATGATAACATCACGTCTTTTAGTCTGAAAATCCAGCCTCTCATTCCTCACAGTTTGATACTTGTTTTTAGGCCCCAGCACAGCAGCTTTAGATACGTTTTTACAAATGGAAATGTAAACAAGAACAAGAATTAGCCACCCTTACTCAGCCAATCCGCTCTCAGCAGTGTCATGGATTATAATAACATGGTTATAGTGTTTTGTATTGTCTGTTTGCACCAATGTTTTCTTTTACACAACTCGATCTATCTACAAAATGTATGAAAACAGTATTTTCTGGATCACACCTGTATATAAACTGTACTGTATATAAACTGCACTGTATATAAACTGTACACTGCATTTGAAAAGAAAGTAGATTATGTCCACATATAGGCCACATTTGAACACAAGCCGTAAGTTTTTAAATTGTAATGTGACCATAGACTGTAAATATTAAAAATGTGACACGTAACAGAGCAGTCAGTTTGATGGCTTTTAATTTTGGAAGTGTAATTACTCAGCACTTTTGCTCTTCAGAACTTTGTGACTGCTGTGTCTCTTTTTGCTGTATCTTTTATATGCCATTATTTTTTATAAAGAATATTTTGTTTAATTTTGAAAGTGCACTTTTACCTTTAATTGCGTTGTCACTGTAGCTTGCATAGTATTCCACAAAAAAATAAGTAAATAAATAAAGTAACAATCTGAAACAAAGAATAATAGTAAGATAGTATTGTGAGAATAGAATAATCTGGATGTAGGTACTCGGGACTATACATATCTGTGAAAATGTACACATTTATAATATAAAATACAGCAATAATAGGATGCTACACTTCTGTTAATATAATATACACGATATACAAAGACAAAGCAGAAAACACATTCATCTCAACAGACTTCAAGTTTATCCGTCGCAGAGCGGTGACTTGTTGTGCAGTTGACAGTTAAGCCCATTTTCCCAAGATGCTTTTGGACCGGTTCTGGTTCAGTTTGGTTTTCCACCAGAGAAGAGCGAGGCTGGTTACCATAGCAACACACCGTTAGCATGTGGTCATTAACCTTCTCTGACTAACTGTTTTGTGTGTGCTGTATTTCAGATTTTAGTCACCAGTTTTAGCTCTGAGAAAAAGTGAGCGAACCTTGCAAATGAGTTGACACGATTTTTAATGTTTCTGGTGGAAACTCAACATGTTTGGGGCAATTTCTCGTCAAAAAGACGAATCAAGGAGTTCTAGAAGATTCAGAAATGTTAACCAACAAGTAATGGGCCGCTATTAGGGCGAAACAATATGATTTAATTAATAATGACAAGGTGTTTTACTGTTAGCTTCCACGTCGGTACCAAATAATAAGTCCATAAACTCTACTCGGACAATAACCCAACTCTTCTAACCATAAATGTACGTACTAAGGCTGTAAGGTTCAAAGAAATGGACTAAAGTAGGTAAAAAAAAAAAAAAAAAAGGTGTGTAAAAATAAAAATGACTGACTGATTTCTTTATGGTTTGTATTAGGTATTATATTTGGTAGTCATATTATTTGGTATTATATTTGGCTCTACATGTTGTTTTCCAGAGCAGTTCACACCCACATAGAGACAGCGGGTCATCAGGGGTTATCTCAGAGTTATTGTGTATTTTGCCGGGCCCCGTTGCCAATGCAAACACAATATAAAACCATACATTCCTAACGCAGAGATGGAATGTTTAAATACAACACTCGAGTAAAATATATGTTCCTATTATTCATCATTACAAATTAACCATATAGATCTGCCCACTATTACTTCTCAGGTCTTACTCTTATGTTTAACATCCACGCACAGACCACTTAGTGACCACTTAGTCACCCTTGGAAAAGATAATCTGAGTAGATGTAACCCAATTCAACATGAATAGGAACACATTCTAGACCAGTCAAAAATAAAATAAACAGAAATATGGCTGCAGGATAAATGATGCAGTACAGTATTTATCCACTAGGGGGCGTTAATGGCACAGTTTCATCCATAGGCTAAATATTTGAATAATTCAAAGAAATCCGCCCTGTTCAGTACAAACTATTACAAATAAACAAAGTAGTAGTTCTGCTTTATTTTCATCCACATTTGATACAAAAGTGTATAATTTTCGCAATCAGGAAAGTACAAAATAGCTCAATCAATGTGAAACAACAAAAATAAAATGTATTGCAAAAATAGGGAGGGTTTCTGTAAAACCAATGATTAAAACAGTGTCCCTTAAAAGCATGGCAGAGTAGGGTTGGTGTCAATAACATCTTACAATTTCTTAAAGTAATAGAATACTTTCATTTTTGATAAAATGACTGAAGCCACCCCGGTGCAAACAGGTCAACAATTAATCTGAAAATCCCACAAGACTGAAAACAAGTCGTCAACACACACACACACACACACACACACACACACACACACACACACACACACACACACACACACACACACACACACACACGTCAACAATCATGACTCAAGGAACAAAACATAAATAAATATATGCCTGTAATTTTAGTCGAATTAACAAAAGTGGTGTTTTGGTGGTATAAAACTAGTTGCACTGACAGATCATTTTTCTTTTTTTTTTTTAAATGAAGGAGACAGTGATTTGCCAATTTTAAAACTCTCAGGTTTAAAATCACATAAGTTGTTAGAAACTTATCGGGACATTCATATTAGAACCTCGTTTACAAAACACAAACCAAACTGCAAATGGTTATAGTAAAACACCATTAAACTGCCCAAGGAAAAAGGACAAAACCATGATAACGTGTACCATTTCTCAAACAATACCCATTTAAATAAATAAAACATAAAAATCAAAACACAGACAAATATTCAAACAATGAAAATGTTAGCTAACATAACTTAATAAAATAAAATCTCACGACTATATAGTTCAGAAGGCAGTTTCTCGTCTTCAACCACTGACTACCATTGAAAAAAACACATAATTCTGCTTTTCTAAAACACAAAGGGAAAGTTTGATACCTAAATATTTCAGATAAAACAAATAATTACACCAATGATCCAAGGTATTAGCTAAATTTAACCTCAGACAAAGGCAGGATGTTTGTGTTGAAGTGTGGGCTATTCTCAGAGCCACACTGATGCCGAAAGCACATTGTATTCAAATAGTAGACGGAAGGTTGATGAAGTGCGCCCGAAAGAATCAGTACAGATGAAAATAACGCAAGAAATGAGTTTGTTTGATTTCCAACACACACAAAACCTAGTTCTACTTCTGAAAGAAACACACGCGTCATCTCTCTGAAGAACAAGCATTCTTCAAGAGAAGGATTAGCATTCAAACATTTGCTATAATGCGTCCGCTTCTCCAAACTTATGGAACTAGGACCAACGACTATCACACAACTTTTTACTGTCTCTTTACTAAAAAAGGCGGAGCAATTCCTGCTTTTCTCACACAATTAACATTCAACAACCTATTTACTGAATGAAAGGTGACAGATTAGAAACCCCAGCCAAGTAGTTTGCATAAATGCAACAAAATGTTTGTGTCACCTGCTAAAAAACAAAAATATGATTCTCTAATCTTCTGACACCAATAACTGGATTTACACTAATTTTAACATTCCATTGATACCGCTTTTGAAGTGGAACAGTGTGTGTGTTTATAAGACTTTTATACGATTACTATTCTAGCATGTAATCAGTGCAAACCCAGGTAAGTGAATGTCCAGCTGCGGGGTCTGTGTGTAAACCCTGTTATGGCCTTTTAGGAACCCTGTGACATCACTCTCCTGCCCTTCACTCGAATCCTTTGCTCTCCCACTTCAGCAGTTTGTCTTGACTGTGACTGAGTTTAAGTGTTTCGATCCACATCAATCTACAGCCTAAAAGTTCAGTTTATAAAAATATATTTTATGAATACTAAAAACCTACATGTACATACTACCTTTTAGGTACGCAGTCCTGGATACATGTTCTCTCAGTTTAATACATTTAATGCACTGTTCTTTTCTGACAGCAGGGACATAATCCTAATGACCACAAAGGAGTTCTTCAGAATCCCCTGCTCGTGTGAGCTACACATAACACATGTTTCTACTGAAATGCAACTGAAGACAAGCCTGCCCTTTACGCCCTGAAACACCTGCACTATCCATCAACATTAGCAACAAAATACAAACTTGTACAAAATAGAAAAATTATATACGCACATAAATAATTTAAATAGCTAGGCTAAAGCTAAGAACAATGCTTCCATTGCCAAGAAGTGCTTGTAATTGGCTGTTCAATTCAGGATGAGAAAAAAAAGATCTGTACAGCTGAGAATGAATTTACCAAAATCTGTCACTTCCAGAGCGCCTCCTTCAGGTGTCTCCTAAAACCTGGGAGAGATCCCCGAACTCACAATCAAACAGTTCACTGATGCCTTCATGGTCCTCCAGGCCAAAGTGGTAGTCGTGATTGTGAGGAGGCGACAGGTTGATGAAACCGTCCAATGGGAGAGGAAGTCCATCTCCATTGAGAAAGTCCGATGATGATAAAGGAGAAAAGTCAAAGTCGGCCATGTCCCCCAGTCCAGAGAAAGGGTCTCCTCCGAGCAGCGATTCTGTTGGACCCAAACACAGAAGGTGAATATAATCCCGTCTCCCATGTCTCCTGTGCTTATATTAGTTTGCATCAGACAAATGGATCCTACAGTCGGCTGGTATACCACACTGGTATACAAAACTCAAATTTAGTGCGCTCCATAATAAATTTGAAGTTAAACGGTCATGTACCCAACTTCGAAACCCCCAAAAATATATCTAATAAAATCTGTGTACCTAGTTTCTCTATCAACATTTTTCTACCACTAGTTCCATCTTCAAACTTATGTATTTTCAGCCTCTTTCACCGGATTGATTTAGTTCAGACATTAGCAGCCTTCACTTTTCCAATCATCTCTCAGTATGTAAATGATGGCGTGTTTTATAGTAACATAAAGACAACATGTTATGGTCTGATTTGTTCACAGAATCTTACTTAAAGCAAAAGATTCTTACTTAAAGAATCTTACTTAAGACAAAACATAATTATGAAACTTTAGGTAGACCAGCTTTAAATCCATGATCGACCACTGACCTGTGTCTCCCCCCAACATGCCGCAGGGGTCTTGCTGGGACGCTGCAGTTGCGGTGGAGCAGGTGGAGGTCGGAGACGACAGACTCACGTCCAGGGCTTCTCCTGAAATCCTGGACTGTGATTGGTCCACGAGCGACACATCTCCATTAGTCTTGAGCGGACTGCTTCCTGTAACTGGGCTGCAGACTCCAGAACTGTCCTCAGGGCAGAGGAAGACGTCAATAGGCCCTTGCGTGCTTTTGAGTGACACCTGATAGCCCTGAAGCACACACACCCCATCTTATGTTATCATCAGACTATCATCATACGTATACATTAGAGTGTGTGGATCATAGTCGTACCTCTCTGGGCTCCGACACCTGCATCTGTGTCTCTGGAGGAGCTCGAATGACCATCACAAGCTGATCTGGAGAATAGAACGACTTATTCAAGTCTTGGCACCGCACATATCCGAATGTATACACCATTAAGGAAAAAACATAGCAATAGACACAACAGCAGAGGGAAGAGACGCACATTGAAATGAAGTTTTGTTTATATTTATTCTAGGTTTAGACACTACTTACACTCAACACAGGAAATAAATTACAAAATGGACTTGAAACTAGAGACTTTGAATGGAAACTTCTTTGAGAGGCACATTTTCATTCATTTGGGGGTGGTCGCTTGAAAAAGGATATTTCTTGTTCTGTGGATCTTCCGTGAGCAATCTCAGTTGTAGTGTGCACTTTGTCATCAACTCGTCCAACCTGGTCTCGGTGTCGTTCAGGTCATCTACTTCTCTCTGTAATGCTTTGTGCCGTGTAACAGCTTCACCATCAATGCGATTCCCACTGTCGATTAAATACATGTGAATTATATAAAAATGTTAGTCCATAAAAAACCTGAATGGACATGGTCAGATACACACAGCCACTGGATATGGTTCTTGGACTTCTTGGAGATGAGCTGAATGCCCTCCAGGACGTTTGTGATGTCATATATTCTCCTCTTTTGGACGTCGAGCACCTGTGAAGCCCAGTTGAGGTCCACCACTCCATCAGCAGATTGGGACAAAAGGTCAAGGAAGCGCTTAGTGGTCAGGTTTAAAGACGTGTCATATCTGGATTTCTCTGAGATGATTCGAGGAACTGAAAGAGAAAATAAAACAAACCTTTTGAAATGCATTTAAAATATATTTATGAATAAATAAACAAATATATTACAATAGATATGAATAAGTAAGAAAAGGGTTTAGGGATTATGCATGTAATAATGTGATCATTAAAATACCATCAAACTCCTAGATGTGTGTGCGTGTGCGTGTGCGTGTGTGTGTGTGTGCACTTGTTTTCAACTCCTGGTGGGTTCCATAACCTGAGATTCCACTCACGTCATGGGGACTGGTTTTACGTGGTGGGGCCCGAACACCGGACCCCACTGGTCCAAGCTTAATAATCAATGGGTAATGCTTTTCTAACGGTCCTTATGCAGTCTCTGTAAAAATATGGAAAGGACCCCTGGAGGTTTACTTTCCTGAAAAAAGTGTGTTATGTGTCGGAACCCTGGTGGTGGGTTGCGGGATATCAAGGAGGGGCACACTGGGGCAATTTCAGTCCAGCAGGCTGGAGCCAATCATGGAGCAGCACAACAGAGGAAATCAGGTGTCAGGCTAGAAAAAGGTGCAAGTGTGTGGTTCATTAGGCTGCAAGAAATCATGGAGGAGCACACTGAAGCGCACGCTTACAAACCACTGGTAAGTGCTGACTACAAGTCATGACTTCAAATTGTTATATAGAATGATTACAAATTATTTGTTGTTTGTGCAGCTTAGTCAAGAGTCCCTAATTGATGAAGTCGACTCAGATTCTGACGATTTAACTGTCAAGAAGAAACCTGTAAAAAAGTATGGAAAAAGAAAAATCAAAAACACTTTTCTTCAAGACTCGGAAAGTGACGAACCAAAGGCAAATAAGATTGTTATCATGCAGCTGCAAAAGAAGAAAAATGGGGGGCGAGTTTACAGCAAGAGACACTTCTGCCTCTACTGTTCAATGTCCTGCCACAAAATGTCCCGTCATTTGACTAGAAAACATGGAAATGAAAGTGACGTAGCCAGAGCATTGGCTCTACCTGTGAAATCTAAAGCACGTAAACTTCAGTTTGATTTGATCAGGAATAGTGGAAACCGTGAGCACAATTTTGAGGTTTTAAAGGCCGGCATTGGAACTTTAGTCCCAGCTAAACAGCCAAATTCCCCAGTTAAATCCAGTGAGTTTTTGCACTGTATAGACTGTGGGGCATTGCTTAAGCGAAAGTCGCTGTGGAGGCATGTGGCCAGGTGCCGGCTTTCACAGAAAGATGCCCAGGCTAAACCAGGTAGAAGTAGGGTCCAGTCCCTCTGCTCCCTAGCCCAGCCTGTACCGGAGGGCATCAGCAAAAAGCTGTGGTCTTTAATTTCGGCAATGCATCAGGATGAGGTCACGGGTGTTGTCAAAGCAGAAAAGGGGATTCTGAGACTCGGAGAGCACCTGTACTTAAAACACGGGCATGATAAGACTAAGCATGATTACATTAGGCAGAAAATGAGAGAAGTCGGTAGGTTAATTAACGAAGCAAAAACCGCAGGGAAACTGAAAACAATTAAGGATTTCTTTATTCCTTCCAACTTTAACCATGTGATTGATGCAGTCAGGTCTGTGGCTGGATATGATGAGGAAACAAATCAATACAAGACTCCATCCTTGGCCCTCAAACTCGGCCATAGCCTCAGAAAGCTAGCAGATATTCTTGAATGTGACTCAAAAATGGAGCATTGTGTTGATGAACTATTTATTAAAAACCTCCAACGAAGCCGGCTGCTTTTTGAGAAGAGGTGGGACGTCTGTGTTTCTTCTGCTGCCCTACAGACCCTCCGGCAAGCCAAGTGGAACACTCCGGACCTGCTCCCTCTGACTGAGGACGTTAGAGCCATGCATGCACATATTGAGGTATGTCGACCTGAATATGTGCAAACCCTAATAAGTGAGCCAACGTCTAAGCATTGGTCTAAACTGGCAGTTTTGACTCTTTGTGAGGTCATCATTTTCAATCGAAGAAGGGAAGGTGAGGTTTCAAAGATGCCACTGACAGCCTTTACCTTAAGAAGTAAGACTGGGATCCATTCTGACATTGCTCTGGGACTGTCCCAACTTGAGAAAAAGCTGTGTCAGCATTTTCAACGCATTGAAATTAAAGGGAAAAGAAGTCGGAAAGTGCCGGTTCTTTTGACTCCTGAAATGATTGCTTCGATGGAGGTGCTGGTGGAGAACAGAAGGGCCTGTTCCATCTCTGACCATAACCCATACTTCTTTTCCCGCCCGGGCGCAGACACCCACATCAGGGGATCAGACTCCCTACGCCAGGTAGCCAAAGAATGTGGTGCGGTGCATCCAGAGATGCTATCCTCAACCAAACTTAGAAAGCACATAGCTACTATGTCTACAGTTCTCAATATGAAAGAGAATGAGATGGACATACTTGCCAACTTCCTCGGCCATGACATTCGCATCCACAGGCAATATTACAGACTACCAGAGGGGACACTGGAGCTGGCCAAAATCAGCAAAGTGTTGATGGCCATGGAGCAGGGAAGAGTGACGGAATTCGAAGGAAAGAGAGCCTCGACCAGATACAAATTGAGCCTGAAGGTAATTCTTGATAATATTAAAATATGTATGATTTTTTTCCCCTAAAGGCCACTTGTATTTTTATTTTCTGTGCGACAGGGAGAGCAGTAGAGATCCTCTCACAAACGGACGGGCTAAAAGAAACTTCAAGCGGAGAACCTTCAACCATTCATCCAGATGCACCCCATGGTAGTGGCAGTGCCCCTTCTGGTAAGTGTACCAGGTGGGGGATTACAGCCAGGCTGCTTGGTCCTCACCCTGGGAGTGTATATTGCTAATATATTTTTATTTCTCTCCCTAGAACGTGTAAGAAAGCCATGGTCTGCATCTGAGGTGAAGGCTGTGGAGAAGACCATGACACCTTTCATACAGACTGGAAAGGTCCCTGGGAAGTCTCACTGCCTGGCCTGCATATTAATGCCTCACCAGATGACCTTAGACATCGGACATGGAGTGGCATTAAATTCTATGTCAAAAATAGAATCACTGCAATTCGAAAACAAAATCTAAAATAAAATTCCTTTAAAATAGTTGTTTGGTTTCTATTGACTGTTTTGTATTACTTAAAGTCTTGGTAAAAAATGATTATGTCTATGGGTCCCATTCTGAACGGCCCTGTCAAAGGGACCCACCAGGTAACAAAAACGTGTATGTGTGTGTGTGTGTGTGTGTGTGTGTGTGTGTGTGTGTGTGTGTGTGTGTGTGTGTGTGTGTGTGTGTATGTATGTATGTATGTATGTGTGTATGTATGTGTGTATGTGTGTATGTATGTGTGTATGTATGTATGTATGTGTGTACTGGTTGCCTCGCTTCTGTCAGTGTGCCCCAGGGCAGCTGTGGCTACAGTACTAGTTTTTCAACACCATAGACTGTAAATATTAACAAACATAGTCGGGCCTATCTCTGACGTTCAAACTAATGTGCCACCACTTTTTCCATCTATGGGGTTTTTCAAAATGGCTGCGGGGCTGGACAAAGTGAAAGTGTGTGTTTTGTAGCACTTTGCTTTTGTTTGTGGCGTGTAGGTTTAGTTTGGAGACCATCGTTTGTTCTGTTTCCTTGGTTTCCTCAGACTCTGGGTTATGGTTAAGGTCAAGATTAGACTCAAGTTCAAGGTCAGGCTTCGAGTTAGGGTCAGACTCTGGGGTCAGGTCTTGGTTCAGATCCGGGTCCGACTCAGAGTAAGACTTGGGGTCATGTCATCTGTATGTTCCCCCGTGTTTCCTCAGACTCCCGCTGTTCCAGGCCTCAGCGTTTGCCTTCCTGATCCCTGCTCAGGCCATTCTCAGCCTGGACCGATGGAAGTGTCCCCTGAAGGTCTGGTCCTCTTTACCCCAAAACCACTCTCAGAGCACAGACCTCTGCCATGAGGCGCCGTTCCATTCCATAGCACAAATAAGTAATATATCTGTTCCAGATCAGATCTATGGAAACTGGAGTTTGCCTCTAGACACAAGTCACGTATGGCACCCACGTATCCGAGAGGTAAGACCCCATCACCCCAGTGTTTAAGACCCCAGTGTTTAAGACCACCTCACCCCAGTGTTTAAGACCCCATCACCCCCATGTTAACCCCCCCCCGCATACCCTGCTGCTTCCGCGCCCCCACGAGACCCCGCCCCCCCTCCGGCTGGGCGCGATCCCCGACGGGGGGTATCCCGCGACCTCCCGGTCCCGCACCGTCCGCTCGGACCCGGCACCCAACCCACCTTACCAGTCCCCGCTTGCAGCCCCTGCCCCCCGATCCCCCCCCCGCGCGTCCCCCCCAGCCGCGCGAACCCCGCACCCCGACAGGTGTGTCACAGCTGGCCCGCCGAGGCGCGCTCCACCTGCCTGCCCCGCCCTCACCCGCGTCCGCCCGCCGGCACGCCACCCATGACCCCCCTCCCCTCGGATGCGGGCAGGTGGCGACAGCGCTAGACACGCACCCCACCGGGCCACTGCGGTCGCCCCCCTGGATCGCCCGTCGTACCACACCATTCCCCCCCTGGAGCCCCGGCTGCCACCCCCCCGCCTGTTGGCCGGCGCACGCCCACCCGCCACGCACCGGCGCCTCCAACCCCCCCCCGCGTGGATCTCCCGTCCCTCACGCTGCCCACGCCGACCTGTCCCCCCCCCGCCGCCCCCCACCGCAATCCCGCCCGTAGGAGGTAACCCCCCCCCTGGCCCACGGGAACCGCTCCCCCCCCCCCAGCATGCCCGCGCGCCCCCCCTGCCCCTTCCAAGCGCCGGGTTACCCGCAATCCGCCTACCAGCCCTTGCGCTCGGCCCCCCACCCTCCCCCCCTCACCCTCGCCCCGCCGCCCTCGACTGCAGTGAGAACCCCCGGCCGGGGGGCGAGCCCCCCCGGTGCCCTCTCGCCACCACCCACCGTGTGGCCGTCACCCGTCGCCCCCTTCGCCCCCAGGTCACGCCCCCCAGACTGGCGTGTGGCCCCCCCGGCCATGCAGCCGCGACGTCCCCCCCCCCGTGCCCCCGCGGCGCGTCGCACCTAGAACCCCCCCCGCTGCCCGCCCCCGCTGGCCCAACTGCGCCAAGACGGCCCGCGGCCCTGGTCGATTGCCCGCCCCGTAAGAGGCTCTCTTCCAGAGTGCACGCTCGGGGCGCACCACAAATACACCCCCCCACCACAGAAAAACGAAGGCCCCCCCGCGACTGACTGCCCAACACAGCCCCCCTCGCCCCGGAACGCCCGCCCAGCTACCCGGTCCTCCTGTACTGCGGTACCGGTACCGCCCCCCACCGGAGCAGGGAGCGATCCCCTGCCGCACCCCGAGCCGGCTCCCTCCTCCCCGGGGGGGGCGCGACAGGCCGACCCCGCGGAGGTTCACGCCCCCCGCGCGATCGCGCCCCGCATCCGCCTCCCCCGTGGGCCGCCACTGCCGCCCATCCGCGGCGCTTCCCCGATGCCCTCCCCTTCGGTGTGGGTGGGGGGGGCGCGCCCCGATGCCCCGTCGCCCCGGAGCGCGTGTCACTCCGTCCGCAATCCCCCCTCCCTCGGCGCCTCCGCCCGCCCCGCCTAGCCCGGTCCCCCGCTGGTGCCCCGCGTGGCCCCCCCACCGCGCGCGCCTGCCCCGTCCGCTGAAGCCCGTGAGTCCGGGACCCCTCCCCCCCCCCCGCTCCGCCTCGCCGCGGGGGAGGGGCTCCCGTAAGACTCTCACGGAAACCCCACGTCTGGCCCCCATCCGGACCACGACACGCGAGCCCCTACCGCCACCGCTACCGCGGCACGTGAAAAAACGCCGCTCCCCCCCCCCCACTACCGGGTTCCCACCGCGCTGCCGCGGCCGGCCCCCGGCGCCCCCATGGTATGCGCCCGGGCCGGCCCCGCCCCCACTCCCCCCAGGGCCCGACCGCGCCACGCCCTGCCCCTCGGCCCGCCCCCGCGGGCGACCCATGGTCACCGCACCCAGGTGTGCCGAGCGCCCCGGCTCGCCGAAACGTGACCCCGCACACGTAAGCACCGCCCCCCCTCGTGCGGCGGGCGGTACGCCCCTCCCCACCCGACCCCCCCCGCTCGCCCTCCCTGCCACCGCTGCGCCTTCCGACCACCCCCTGCGCTCGGCAGGGGCCCGGCCCGGAGGCTCTCGTCCCCGCCTGTTCTGGTGGGGCCCCCCCGCTGGTGGTGGCGTCGGGCCCGTCTGGGCCCGCCGAGGTGCCACGGGCCGACCGGCCGCGCCCCGCGGAGAGGACACACGTGCCGCCGCGCGAGGCTAGTTGCCGGGGGACAGGGTCCCACCCGCCCCCCCCGGGGGCAGCCGCCCCGCACAGCGTGGTGCCCCGGCCCCGCCGTCCCAGCGCCCGGCCCATCCCCGAGCACCTCCGGGGCGGCCCCCAGCCCCGGCGACCACCGGCCGCCGGCAGCGACAGCCCGCGCAGCCGACTGGCCCCCCCTCGTCTGACGGAGCTCCCCCCGGCCCCCCCCGCCCGGGGTCGCCCCCACGCCCCCGGCCCCAACCGCCACGGGCCCGCCTGCCGCGCGCGTCCCCACCCCCCGTGCTTGAGCGACCCCCGGCCCCCCCGTCCCCCCGGCCCCGTCGGCCCCCTGGTCCACACCGGGGCGC